TGATATAACGAATGCTTGAGGTGTCTTACCAAGCAAGGTAGTGTAGTGCCATAATCAAGTTAAACTCATCTCCACAGAGTATTTACAGAAAAAGAAAATTTAATAATCACAAGACATCCTTTCACTGTAAATTTAATTGTAAATGCTATGGTCAACAAAAAATATCTTTTAACAAAATATCTTTTAAAAATATCTTTTAAATCCTAATTTTGCCATTACTATCCTAGAAATGGTACTTGAAAAAACAGTAGTTTTGCAGTATGTGATACTGGACCGAAGTCTTCAGGCGATCTATATTATAGGACTCGGTGAGACTTTATCTACCATAGACAGATAAAAGTCCTGCCCATCTACTAGATTTCCATACTTAGTGGAGATAGTTCAAGTGTATATTGAAATATGTTTGCCACTAATTGACAGAGCAAATTACTTTTGGAACCATATTTCCAAAGGGCCACTGAAAATTTATTTCTTCAATTTTACATGCATGGGCTTCCATACCTTTGTGAATTTAATGTTTGTGTGCTCTGATATTTAACAGCATCGGAAGAACAATTTCAAAGATGTGATATTAAGACAGTTTAGTAGAATAGATTTTAGAAAAATCTTTTACATTCTGCACAATTAGCCATCTCGGTGTCTTCATCATACTTTCAAGTACTGTAATCAAAATTTTACATGGAATTTTCTTAGAAGAGAGGTTGAATTCCAGACATAAAACTGAAAAAAAAAAAAGAATAAAACAAAAATCTGACTCATTTTCTATGCTTACTTTCTACTTTTCAGAGGAGGAAAAGCCTGCAAATTTTGACTGCAGACCTAAATATCACAGTAAAGTCCATCTGATATACCAGGTTCTGAAATTACAGTACACAGAAAAAATGCAAACAATTGATTATTAATGAGGTCAGAAATACAAATAAATTCACTTCTAATGAAGACTGGAGACACAGTAATCAAAGTGTTAAAAATTCATTTCATGCACATCTCATTTGCCTCTTAGCTGATATTTACCACATAATTCTGTGAGAAAGTGGAGGCCTAAGATGCTCCCGATTAATGTCTCAATTAATTGTACAGAGGTAGCCCTCTTTGAGCTGAACCAGAGCTGTGAGCTCTTTATTAAAAGCACTATTCGGTAGCCTGTAACCTTGTTCCTTGACTCCTCTCTAGTTTCCAATTTAAACAAGTCCCCATGCAGCCCACTCTAAAGGGCTTTGTCTCCCTGTCATTGTTATGAGAGCCGAGGCATCCTGGAAGTGTGAAATCGGACCTCATGAGCTGAACGGTTCCCCAGGGAACGCCAGACCATGCAGAAGGTCAAAGTCATGGGCTGGACCATCTGAAAGCGTCTGATCGGTGGTCTGTGACACAGCAAGAGGGGTGGGGGTAGGGGGAGAGGGGAGCCAGGGGCTAGAATTGAACACATCTTAATTAAAGCCCAAAGGCAGCAAAATAAACTGTTTTCTAGGCAGGTCATCTTATGGAGCTTGGGTTTTGCTCTGCTAATCTGAGTTGCTATTATTCCTTTAAAACACAGCACTTTTGCTGAAATCAATCAAACCTGTGGCAGATCTTTTCCCATACTGCTTGCTTCTCATAAGGCAGAGATTTTGAATTTTGTTTTGTGACACAAGGAAAAGGACGGATGCACCTGCCCCAGTAAAGGAGATGCAGGCACTGCCTTGCAAAGCCAGCAGCCTTTGACCACCTATACCTGGCTATGCTGTAAAAGGAATACATGTATCTGACTATTTCCTAAACCTAAACTATGTTACGGTAAAGGGTCTGCTTTCTGAAATTTGTAGGCCTTAGGTGAAAACCATATGTATAATGTCAGAAGCCAACTATCATGATGAGTCCATTATACTTTAGGTTTTACTGCATCATCAGAGTATTTCTTCATGTCACTGTAGGCACAGCCCCTATCCTGCCAGGACTCCACAAGCAGCCAAATCCTTGAGAAGGTCTGCCAGAGAAACCATAAGTCAGCAAAGATGTAGGGAAACAGAAAAATATAACTCCTCATAGCTGAGGATTTAGGAAGAAAACAGCCATGCATTCAATAGCTAAAACACAATGGAAGATTCAATTGAAAATTTCTTCTCAGAGCAAGAAGAAAAAAGTAAAGTCCGTGCTCAACATCTTTCCATTAATTAGATTACAGTTCTAAGTAATCACAATAAAAAATATGTAATTTTGAGGAAGGTGTATTTGCTGTGACCATAATTTCCAACAGAACGTAATTTTCCACTGGTGGAATCCAACTGGTGGAAAATTGTGTTTTGACCATGGAAAGACACTGTTTTCCTCTGAGAAAATATCCTCACAGACCCAGCAATTCCCCCAAAGGCCCCAGTCCTGAAAGATGCCCTGTTTTTCAGCTGTTCCCAAAATCAAGGAGAGCTTTCAAGCACCAGTGGGGAATCTCAATCCCTCAGTGGTCCTTCCTTTAAAGCCTAGACCTCCTTGCAAGTGGGTCGAGTGAGAAGTCTGACTTTATTTATTTTATACTGGGATATTTTTAATACCCAGTTATGGGATGCTCCAGCAGTGCCCCATTTCAAAACTGGTAGTGCTCACTTGCTCCCCTGCCCACAATTCAACTGAAATTTCAGCTCACCCTGGCACCCTATTCAATGCCATGTGTATGTGAGGAGGCTTCTAAGCTTAGGCCTGAACTACCACCCTTAATAACTCTCCTTTAAAAAAAAAAATCTTTACTAACTTTAAAGATTTGAAGTGCACTGTCCAACACCAGACTATTGAAACTGGAGAAAAAAACTGCCCTGGCTATCAACAGTTTATTAGGGGCTTAACTGAAGTGACCTACTGTAGTAGCATTCAGTCGAAAAAGGCTATGAGCTTTCTGACAAAAGGAGAAGAATTGAGGGTTTCATTAAAAAGTAATTTGTGTTTTTTACTCATTCATTCAACAGGAGTCTCAATTACTCTTTATTCATACAGAGTTAATACAGTATTACAATGCTGCTCAATGAATGTACAGTAACAAAAGAAAAATTTCATGTTTTGAAAAGGAAAAAAATCCTTGCAATATTGATGACTACTTAAAAGATTACAGAAATCTTTTTCTGTCTGTGCTTATGCTTAATGATGGAACATTAAGGATTTTAAGAATCTACTCAGCTCAAACTAATAAAATTTGATTTATTACTTCACATGAAAAGATTCTTGGAAGTGAAATGGGATATGTTCAGCAGGAAGGAAGCAGAGCAAACCACACAGATACTATACAGTTGTTCTAGCTACTTTTCAGACTCAGGGACAAAAGATTAACTCTGAAAATACAACACAGTCAGAAAAGCAAACAAGTCCTTAGCTTTTACTCAAAGAAGCAGTCCTTAGTGGTGTGAGTAACATCACTGATGGCAGCATCCTCCTTACTGACTAGTAAGTATTGCTTAGTTGAGTAAGGGTGGTGGGTCAAGTTTTTACAAAATTTCTGCAAACATGATTTATTGACAATCACCAAATAGCTACTTTGAGTTATTTCTCAATATTGCTATTGAAAGTTTAATTTTAAATGAATGATTTGTACATACCAACAAGTTACTAAAAATAGCTATAAGTTATTACAGTAGATAATAAACCCCCTTTGCCCTCTTTTCAAAATGCCAGGTCCTTTTGTCCAAAATATATAATGATTTCTGTCACATTTGAAATGTGCAGCCATCTTAGTATGTGCTGTATAAATGCTTTTTCTTACAAAAACCAGAATATTTAGTTATTATAAGACAGGGGAAGATATTGAGTGTTCTTCCCCTTCTTCCTGATTGTCATCCTAAATGCAATGTCTGAAAACTTTTGGTGGCTCTGTACATCTTTAATTGAATCAAAGGTATTTCCAAAACAATTGTTCAACCAGCACAAATAACATGTTCATTTGAAAAAGTCAAAGGCTGAACGAGATCAGAGACTGAATTATCCCATTTGCCCCTGAATAACTTAATCTCTCTCTCTGTTCAGACCACATTGGATTATAAGGTCAAAGCATAGTAAGGAATCTTTAGAAGCATTCCTCCAACCTCCCCAAAAACAGAACCTGTTATTTTGTGTGCCACAAACTGGATCAGTTTCAGCAATAAAATATTTCCACTGTTACCTTGTCTGAAATCCTGATAGTCATGCTAATTATCAAAAAACTATTGAAAGTGAATAAGTTGTTACATATCTACATCTGCTCCTGTAACAGAACATTTATGTCCTAACAGCAATTAAACCAGGTAAGTCTAGCTTCCTTTTATCTTTTTTCTTTTTTTAAAAGCAGAGATGGCTGTTTTCTGATACAGATGCAGAAAATTCTGCTCCATTCAACTTGTGCAGCACGAAGGTGATGGTACTTAGAAGAGGTAACTTTGGCATTTCTGGAGAAATATGGCCAGTATGGATGAAATACTTTCCCTTTATTGTGAAAAGTTATATGTCATATTAACTATTCAACTTATATCACATAAAATAGAGAATAAAAAAAAATTGTTTTCCTTCTTGAAAAGATGAGCAGTAGCTACAGTAAACTGCATGTACTTGAAATGTCTGAAACCAAATAAACATCTGAAAGATATCAACTGGTTCTTTCGGCAACAACTTTAAAGCAGTATCTAAGTCTAGCACCTTTCATTTGCCTTGTCCCTTGGAATTCAGTTTTAATGTTGATAATTTTGTATAGTTTCATCTACTAAGAAAAAGAAGGGTTTTCTATGTAATTTTTACAGGGTCTCTGATGGAGAAAAATGTGTATTTTGCCCTTATGAGAAATAACCTATGTAGGGCTATGCTACCATTAGAATGACTTGCTGCCTTGCTTACAAAAGTTCTGTTTGCTTGTGTTTAAATTTTTTCATTAATGAGCAAAAAGTGAAACTGCACAAACAGAATATAATGTTTGTATGAGCTTCTGTTTTAAGCATTTTTCTTCCATTTCTAAAAAGACCTAGTTTTACTATGGTATTTACTGTCACAGAAACTAAATGAATCCTTGCCTGTGACATCAGCTGCCATCAATGCCTCTGCCCTGATGACCTTCACCTGAAGAAATCCCACATCGCTGATGTTATGGAACATCATCATTGGACTCTAAAAAATAATAAAAAGAAAAATAATTCTGGATTGCAAAAAAGACAAACAAAAGCAAGATTAGTAGTCTCCTCCCTAGCCCAGACACGAGTTACTATGTAAATATGTCCATGTATTCAGACTTTTAAATATTATTCTCTGAAGAAGTACAGTTGTCAGCATTTCCTTCTGTACTTTGCAACTTTAACTTATTAACAAAAATTACAAAGGACAAATTAGAATATTAATTATTATATCTAACACTAATTCTAGTGAATCAATCCCCTAATAGTATATGAACAACTGTACTTCAAAATTTGAAATAAGAGCAGTAACTTAACGAAATTAACACAAAAAATGAAAGTATTCTTCTCCCTGAATTATTTTGCAAAATCTATGTTCATATTTTCTTTTTGATGGTTCCAATAATATCCTAACAGTGACCTAGGGCCAATATAGTTGTTTTGTAGTTGACTATTATAGACAAGCTTGCATATAACACATATGCCTATATAAGCTTGCAAGTAACATGAGCAAAAGCAATCAAAAGACGATAACAACAACTTAATAATTTTCATAATAATCACATGCAAAAAGGATAAAAAAATAATTGAAGTAAGTTTTAAATTAAATGGCAGAAAGCTTTTACCATAAATCATAATATTTCTTTAGTACAAATTTCTTCAACATCTACGGATATTAAAAAGAGAAAGAAAAAACTTAAGAGTAGACTAACATTTGCATTTATTCATCTAACACAGATTTAGAAAGTTGATTGAAAAGTATGTTCTGTTGCTGCTTTTTTCCCGAGTAACTAAAACTAACAAACTGCAAGTATTGCACTAATTAGGTGTGACAAGCTATAATTCTCAAACACTAACTCTGAATATAATTTAAAATTTGTAGAATTTCAGATGTTAGAACATTGAATGCAACTTTGAATCTGTAATCCATGAATAACTAACCTAGCTTTACAATTCAGTTTGATAACCTAGGAGAGGATCCAAAAGTATAGGATAAAATAGTAAAATTATGGATTGAAAATGTATTTAAAACCATATACAAATGTAGCTTAATTTCTGTTTGTTTTGCAAGTCTTGTTTATAAATACTAGCACATATCTTTATTTTGAAATCTGGACTAATGCATCTATAATGCCTGTCATCTTTCCTAAAATTTTAATGTAGTGAAACATTTCCATTGCCTGGGACAGTGTCCAGGTTTCCATAAAAAGCAAACACCAGGTAAAACATCATCTCAACAATTCTTTAATTTATCACTAGGCAAAACTGACTGTTTGGAAAACCAGAATAAATAACATCACTAGATGTAAAAACCACACATGCTGCTTAAATGAAATAATAAATGCCAGCTTGCAAAAACCCCCAGTATGTTTATCCATAGACAATCTATCCATTAAGATGTTAGACACATAATATGCATCCCTGTCTATTACTAGGAGAATTTTAAGAGTTAATTCACATTGATAATAATTTTACAAGCCCTAACTGACCATTTACTGTTTACAGTGAAGATTTGACCTTGCTATATTGAACTGAGAAATCCAGTTTACTGTAGTAGCCCATGTTACATACATACAAATACATGTATGCAAGTTATCATGCGATAACAGTTAATAAATTTTTACCTATTTTAAGAAGTAAATCATCATAAATACGACTTCAAAATACTGATGGTCAATCAGCACACACTCAAACATTTGCTTATGTGCTTACAAGCTGAGGGTGGCAGAGATGGTGTTACAGATAGCACTGTTTTAGTTCAAAGCATCTTGGCACTGTCACTCCTTTATAACAGTAATGATCAGGTTTGGTTTCTGAAGCTTGTTATCAGAACTGGTACCACAGAGATAATGCTGCTCTAATACTGTGATGAAAGTGAAAGGATTTATAAAAATATTTCCACATTCTACACAAGTTTCTCAATGACCAAACAAACACCAAGCTGGAGAAATAAAACAAAGCAAAAACCAAACACAAAGCAAGACAAGTGACTGCCCCCACTTCCTATGATGCCAAACAGTCCCCTTTTTCCAAATCCTGGTAAGCTCACTCCTCAAAAAGGCACCAGTGCTGTATTTCGGTTTGCCACCCTCGTTAGAATCCCACAGAATAATTATTTTTGAACTTTTAGTTCCAGCAAGTCAGCTGCCTTAGATTCATCCACACATCATAACTCTGCTGAAAATGTATATGATGCCACAGCAGAGGCTCTGGGAGAAGCCTATTACTTTAATACATTACTTTAAATACATAACTTTAGGTAATGATTTATCAGATGATATTCTGTCTTCTTATTTATGATTATTGTTGAAGATCCACATGGTTTCTGAAGCCTCAAATTTCCATAGCAGAGCAATCTGTGATTTGCTGGGAACCTTTTCAGCATTCAATAGATGGGAAAAGATTGAAATGCTCTGGAGATGAGTCCTCTTTATTTTTTTAATGAAAGGCTGTATAATATATTTTCTGTATGGCTGCAGCAGCTGTCAGGGAGAGCATCTCAGTTCAGCTCTATTATGGGAGAAGCAATACTCCATCCTATGGCATCAAGATACACTAAGGGGCCAGTACTGATTGACAGCTTGTCACCATGACGTCTTATTCCATCTCCGTTATGGAGAAAATTAATGTCACACCACCAGCCTTATGACTCGCTGTCATCTTAGAACTGCTCACCTTTTATCAATGCTCTAAATAACATTTCAAGCCCATCGTCTCACAGTGGACAATCCGGTCAAGGGACATTAAATCAGATGACTGTGAAATGTCATAATAAAAATGGAATGCTAACAACTTCTCTAAACTAGCTCCTCTGGTTTTTAAACTGTGACAAGGGGGACCCTGGGTTCAGCACACCAGTTCTGAAAAGGTCATACAATCTCTCTTGGTCTGTACCCATTAATTCGCCCCCCTCTTCACCCCAAAAGGAATTAATCTTTTCAGACAATTGTGGTAAAATAATGGTTCAAACGGTAATGCCTGTTTAATTTGTAAGGCTCTGATGTTCAGCTACAAATGGTTAAATGACAGTAATAGAGTAATTTTTTAAGGCTATTGGATCTGATGGCAAGGTCAGCTCATTAACTGTTTTTGGCTGCAGAAAAGGTGCAAAATACATTTCTCTAATGGAAGCTAGATTTTTTTAAGAGGATAAAAAATAAACCCAAAAATACAGCCATTCAGTGGGGAACTGTAGGTCTTGCTAATTGCACATGTTGCCCTTGTATTCATTCTGAATGGAGATATGAATACCAAAGACAAACTGAACATCAGTGAAAATAAACCACTTGAATTGTGTTAATCCTGGTAATTTCTTTCTTCTGCTGGTCACTTCAATAAAAACAGTAGAATTTATCCAAAAGGTATGTAGAAGCCACAATTTTCAGATACACATAATGAGAAATTCACACCTTTGCAATATGAATACTGTCCTAAAATATCAATGTTTTCAAACATATACAGCAATGTAAGAAAAGACACATATCGATGCATATGCAAGAAACAGGAATAAACCAGATCAATATTATGACACATAATTATGCTTTACACTGGGGACAAAAAAATGAGAATTTAAGAAAACTGATTAATAGTACCCAGTCATAACATGTTTCTGTACTGCTACTGAAATAATCAAAACCATCAGTATCACTTGTCTGCCATATCACCACACAGAATAATCCACAGAAACAGGGTATTGTTGCTCTTGGTAGCAAGAACTATGTCACCTCAAAAACATATCCATCAGAAAATTGTTCTACTTATAGACATCTATTCTGACAACCACAGACTGTCTTGGTGGATTCCAAAATGTGCAATAACTCTCTTAATTGTAATTATTTTTCTAAGATGGTGGACAATACCTTAGCTTTCAGTTCACTTAGGAATATTATATTTAGCCTCCCTAAGTCACCTCTATTAAACCGCGTTTATGATAACACTATTGGTGTATGAGTTGTACAAGCATTAGCAGACAGCTGATTCAGTGGAGATAGCCAGAATAAATTTGCTGAAGCGCACATCCTGCTAATCTGTTTGAAGAATATTGTACAGCATTAGTACTAGCACTTCATGTTATCTGCACAGCCTGATAAGGTACATCTTTATTAAATTCAGTTATTGAAAGGATGTCAGTCATGGAATAGGAATATTTTAAAATCTTGGAAATAAATTAAGCAGCTCTTTGTTAGTCAGAGCTTGGTTTAATGGCTGAGTGTCTAGAGAAGCCTTTCTAAACACCTGGCAGCATTGTACAATAAAAGCTTTGTAATTTTAAGTGGAAATAGCATGGTTTTTTTCTTTCTTTCTCCATGCATAGTGAAACAGTTACTTTTAGGGATTCAGGCACTAGCAAATGCTGGAGTAAGAGCTCCCCTCTCTGTTGCTTTGATAAAATTACAAAGATACTGTGTAATGTGAGGATGCTGGGAAATGGAAATAATTTGTTTCAGAATATTTTGAAATGGAAATACTGTTTAAAACAATTAGTTTGATGATATAAAATACTGCTTCAGCCTCTAATATGAAGGCAAAAAAAAAGTTTTCTTGCCTTTTAACAGATGTTCAAAAAAAGCTGTAAACTATTAGCAACTCAAAGTATTTGGCATAAAAAATCACTAGAAACTACATTTGCTGAGTGACCCCTTAGTTACTTTGTGCCTAGTAAAAATTACGTGCAAAGCAGTAAAATGAACTTCCTTATATGACATCTTATGTCATGAACAGTTGAATTACCATGTTAAAAATACTTCCCTGTATGAAGAGCATTTGTAGCCCTCGTGATGTTACCTGTACCAGCTGTAACTATTTCTATATTAGTAACTGGTTTAAATGATTCTCATTGGCAAGGTGTTCTTAGAATATAAGAGATTTTTACCCTCGTGATAGTTATTTTTTATATAGGCAAACATTTTGCAAACAAAGGGTGAAATAGAATTTCATACATATCTCTTCAGTATCTCTTCTCGCTCCTTCTGGTCCTCCAGGGAGTTAACAGAGAGGTCAGATATGGTGACTGCAGCTGAGGCCGTGAGAGTGACCAGCAACACCAGGTATCCCTCTCCCTCCTCTAGTGGCAACTCCAGCTTGTGGGTTTGTTCTTTACTCAGGGTCGACAGGTCAACCTGGCATCTAGAAACACACATTCTGCATCAGCATGTGGTTTTCCTTACATCAAATAAGAGCACATTGGCTTACCTGCATTTAAATGGACAAAAAAACCAAGTAAGTAGAAATTCCTTCCTAGCTTCTGGAAAAAGTCTAAATTTATCTTCAGCTTTAATCCATGCTGCTTTTTTGACCTTTTTTTTTCCTAACGGCTACACAACCTGTTTTGAAGTGAACAATAAATATTAAAAAGAATGTACAGACACTAGAGGTAAGATTAGTTAACAGGCCTTACTCAAACACAAAGAGAATTTCAAAAAATTCATCTTCAGATGCAAATTTTACTTTTAATTAAGTCTCTTGTATAAAGAAAAAACATAAGTTTTGATGTGAACATTTTTAATACTGTTCATATAACAACAGTAAAAATTTTTTCTTAAAAAAAGAGAAAATCTGTGTGGATTTAACTGTGATGGCATTAAGATGACTGAGCATAGAAAAATTCGACTTGAGCACTACCTGAAAGGCTCAGCTCTCTTGCAGTAAGCTGTGTGTGGCTCAGGGTCAAAGCTTCATGCAGGCAGCCAGGATAAAATCTGATGCCACAACCCCGTATATAATAAGATGTCTCACTTTGTAATGAGCAGGGACTGCTTATAACTGCGCAGAGTGGCTGAAGTCAATCCGCCCTGCTTGATCCCTTTCTGAATAACTCTGGCTGTACCATACACTGAACTAATGAAGAATGACTCTATACATTCCAGACAGCAGAAATAGCTTTGCAACGTCTTTAGAAATATAAGGCAAAGCATGGAAAGAAAAACAGCATCTGCTATCAAAGAGCTGACCATAACCTTTTGAAATAAAACAGTAATACCTTAGGGTAAGTAATTAGTGCATAGCTTAGAAGTTTTAATATTTTAATTTGTAAAATGCCCAAGTTTCAACTTTTCTAGACTGCCACTCTGAGCGTGCATAGAAATTCAGTATCCATGTCAAATGTAATGCCAGCTTGCATTGCACAGAAATTTCTGTGAAAAAGCACTATTTGGAATACTTACAGCATCCCAAGATGAGTTTTGCCAAACTCATTATTCTAAAAACAGTAACAATACTGAAATAAAATAAATGCGTATATTCTATATCTACTTTAGCCACTGAATACTCTCCTTTCAACTGTGATTATTTAATGTGAGAAGCTGGCATGTGACGTGTACTATTTGGCACTAACTCACTAAACTAAACATCTAGCAAACTCTTTTAATAAAATGTCAATTGATTTTGAAGAAAAAAATAATGTGGTCACCACAGGTCAATAAACTGAGAAAAAGGTGGCAGACATGAATAAATAGCCATTTAAGGACAAGAAATAGTCAATTATGAGAATAAATGCAGCCTCATAAAATGAGCATTGTGCTATCATAGGCAGATTAGATTTGCTACAGGAAAACTGTCTTTTATTATTTCAAAAACATTTACTGTCTGTTGTGCAGCAGTCTAAACTACTGCAAAGCTCATATGGTAATAAGGTTGAATTATCTTACAATGAAAAAATTTCTAACTGATGTAGCATTCTGAGCTTAATGTTTACCTTCTATTTTGAACCCTTCAGATGATAAGGAGTGAGAAATTAAATTAACAACAGTAAGGAAAAATAAAGCTATTGCTGTCAATGCAAGCTGATGGTCAATACAAGTTTTGCATATGTACATAGACTGCATATGTACATCATTTTTATTTATGATGCAGGGAGAAATATAAAGCCCTCCTTAAGATAACAAATATTGTAATCAAGCATTCAAAGCTGGAGGAGGTTAAAATACTCTTAAATATTCTTTGATAATTTATTTCAAAACAGATATCCCTCAAAAATAGGGCTCAGCAACAATATTGAGACTCCAACCAATAATCATTTAAAGAACCAGTCTAAACTCAAAGTCAGTAAAAGAATCAGAAAGTCATTATGATACTAGTAATGCAGAAATAATCCAGTTCTCACTCAAAAATAGGCAACAACAACTAACCCCTCTGGAGAAAAACCCACCTACATTCACCAGAAAAATGCAATGAGTGTTAAATTTCAGGGTTTGCATCAGAGCTACAGATACAATTTCTCCAATTCTTGAAGTTACAAGACTTTTGCAACATTACCATGTTATTTTTTATTTAGGCTAAAAGAAGCAACTGACAATTCAATTTTATCTGTGCTCCTTTCCTACAGCTATGGAATACTCCTAATAGCAGAACAAATTAGTTGAGAAGTATGTCTCTATCGACTGCTTGATAAATCTCCATGAACAGCCCATCACCAGTTTGTTATCTCCTAAAATCATACAAACAGTAGGAAATGCTCTGGAAACTTTTTTCCAGTGCAAGCCTTAATCATTTTAAAGGAAAAATATCCTCTGAAGAGTCCTCAGATAATTTGATAAAAATCTAGAGTTATTCCATTAAGGAGTGTCACCATTGCACTCTATAGAAGTCCAGGTTAAGAATGTCCCTGTGTGTACACAGTCAGGTGAAAGCATATTTCTCACTCTCTGCCAGGTCCTCTCACCCCTGGCCTTGCAGGGTATGAAGCTCGCATGTGTCTAATTCAAAGGTGCCAAGGCTCAAGGAGCATCCAGCATAATGTGAGTGCATCTACAACACATGTGTTTCAGACAAATGATAAGACTTCCCAATTTACAGACACTATAGGAGAAATTGCAATTTTTTTTCTCATTAGTAGTTGAATTTTTCATGATAAAAAATCAACTTTGTTTGCTCTTATGCCAAATTTTCCTAAAATATAAAATAAAGAATTTTTGTTATATCTTCTTTGTCCTCACCAGATCTTTGTATGGGACCAAAAAAAGTGAAGGAAGTCTGGTTTTATTAATGCATTACCTAAACACTAACCCTGTCCTAGAATAACTTTGACAGACACCAATAGGAAACCCACAAAACTCCTTTTTCTATTACATTTCTTTAGTAGGACTGAAGTTAATAAAATACTTCTAAAGATAAGTATCTGTTTGGAAAATATCAATTTTCCAAATGTAAATAACTTTGGAAAGTTCAAGTCGACAATGCTCCTTTACATTTTACTAACAGTATATACAAGTATTCCAATCTTTAAAAGCTTTAGCAATACTGACTTATATCAGTTAAGATGTTCTCTTAAAAGACATTTGTCACCCACAACTGTTTCCATGGAGAACAAAGATGCTTTGAGGATGAAGGTTAACTTGAATGTTACCAGAAAGTGATGCAGAATGAGTGAGAAATTTTTGTCTCGTTTTCTCAAATTGAGGACCATGAAAAATTACAGCTACTTTGAGAAGGCCATAAGTTGCATAGGACCAGCAGCTGTCACACTGAAAGCACGATATAATAGTAACTTCAGACAACCCAGTTTCTTAAGGAATTATTACTTACATGATGCTGCTGAAAGAAAAGAGCTCACCACCTGTAAAGAGGTCAGCCTGAAGAATTACAGCAAAAAATTTGCCATTAGCTCCATAGACAGATTTCCAAGCATGGCTACAAATCAAATCATAGACAGAACTGTAGTTTTTAGGGCAGTTTGAATATTTCTCCATCTTCCATGCTGTATAATCCCTTGGCAGCACTAGAAGTGTTGGACTGGGGCACTGGAACCACTGCCGTGGCTGGCTGACCCCTGAGAAAGAGGCATTAGGAGCATGCCCCCCCCATCAGTTCTGCATGTGAATATTCTCAGGCACCACGTCTATTTGGATTTTCAGGCCTTGAGAGATCAGAGGGGAGAAAAACCATGCAAATGCATCAAGGTTGTGTGCCAAAGTTATTACAGATACAGATACAAATTGCTCAGAAACAGGGTACAGCTCCCATGGAGGAAAATTCGAAGGTTCAAGGGGAATCTACCACTTGTCTGAAACTGTGTTCAGTGTGTTAATCGTTCAAACTTTCAGAAATATATTTCAGATTCATTTTTAATTTGAATATATCTGGCCTTTGGTTCTTTTTATGCCTTTCTTTACCCAGTTGAAAAAGCCTTTAGTGTTTCATGTTTTCTTCTAGTGAAGGTACTCATACGCTATAATCATATATCTTCTTCATCTTCCTTTTGATATGCTAAACATCTTCAGCTCCCTATACATTTCCTAGGAACATATCTCCTGCAGCCCTCAAATGACTTTTTGTAACTTTTCTGATCCAGTGAAATTCTCCTGCATCCTTTTTAAAGTGCGGAAGGCAGAACTATATGTAGTATTTTATTATCAGCATGTCTAACAGGTAAAAATCACCTCCCCTCTCTAGTTCTAACAGAACCTGGAATGTAAGACTGCGTTGGCACCCTGGTGAAATATCCTTGCTAATGAATGAATTACAAAGGTAGCAACATGACATAGAAGGCCTCTTAAAAGCCAGGTGGCCAGGCAAGTGAGAGACAGCAGATAGTGAGATCATTTTCTCACATGACAAAATAAAGCATAAAAGAGGAACTGGCACAATCCTAAGTGTTAGGGACAGAAAAGCACCACTTGGCTACAAACCAGGCAACTTAATTACCATCATGACTTGTTCAGGAACACACCCTTTTAACTCCACTGTGATCCAGGTCTATGCTGCTCCGAAGGATGCCAAGGAGAGGAAACTGTATGATTCCACAATTAGAACTGAGCTGGACACACATCAGAAGCAGCGAGGCATGAACTGCTACAATTAGTGAGACTCCATATCCTTTATGAGCAGAGTAAAATGTTCCAATAAAACCAAGGAACAAAAGAAGAGGGAAAATTCTGCAAAGCACTGACAGAAAATGACACATCTCAGAAACACTCAGTGTTGACTGCAGTAATGTGAACTTCTTGGAAGAATCAGAGCGTGACATTTTTAACTGTAAAGATAATGAAAAAGAAATAAAATAATGGACTTCATATGATGCTTGTGAGAGGTGTTCGATAGAGGTGATAGACTGAAAACCAGGAAAGCTCCCAAAGGAATTGGAGAGTGTAACTCAGCTAAATAGGACATTGACTGAGGAGAAGAATGGT